TCAGTTTCATACTTCTGAACATACTGTAAATCTGAACTACTTTCCCACAGTGAGATGCCAAACTATGACGCTGTCATCTCTGCCATGCTGAAGCACGGTTTGGAAGAGCTGCCCAAACACTGCAAGCTGACACCTGGCACCCCCCTCAAGCCCATGTTGGCGCATCCCACCAAGGGAGTGAGCGAGGTGTTGCGCAGGTTCGAGGGGGCAGAGTTCACCTGCGAGTACAAGTACGACGGGGAGAGGGCACAGGTCAGTTGCTAGCGTAAACAGAACTGTTCCCATCATGAAGCAATTTTAAACTAATTTCCAACACAACAAATTGGACTCATCCAAATTTTCGACTGTACAACTCCAGTCTTTGTCAAGGAATGAGCAATCCACCACTTCCCTGACGTCACGCAGATAACACACGTGACTCCGTGAGCAGTGGATCATAGGTCTTTCTATAACTTCCTATTCTTTTGAAAAATAGTTTTGCACTTTTTTTCTTGGCTATGAACAGGTGGTGTTGAACACTGCCAGTTTTTGCCATAATCATAAGTATTGTTTCAGTCATTTTGAGGCATAAATTTTTGTACTGCAAGAATTTTACGTTGTTTGTTATATTCTGCTTTCTTGGCAATGAGAAACATCGCAATGAATGACATCTTTGTCTGTTCAGAATGTATTGGATGGGTTTAAAGAAGAAGTGTAGTATTACTAGTGATCCTTTTTAGAGACATAAGGTAATCATGATGCCCTGTAAAGATTATGGATTGTGTAACATACTTTGATATGATGTATATATATAATAATAGTTTTTGATCACACTTAAAACATGTTTTTGTTCTTGTCAGATCCACATGCTAGAAAATGGAGAGATCCACATCTATAGCAGAAACCAGGAAAACAACACCTCCAAGTACCCAGACATCATTGCACGCATGCCAAAGGTCAAGCATGATGATGTCACTTCCTGTATCATTGACTCGGAGGCGGTAGCCTGGGACCCCGAGAACAAGAAGATCCTGCCCTTCCAGGTGCTCAGTACCAGGAAGAGGAAGGTGGGTGTCACATGATAGGGGCATGATGATCACATGATGGTCACATGATAGTCACCTGACATTAACATTAGGCATCACACAAGCAATGTGTGGCATTGATATTGCCTTGTTTACCTACAACAGATTTGGGGAAGATGGGTAGGTTGAAAATCAATTCAGTATTTGTTTAATAATCAATGTTTTTAGCTACCTTTACAATATTTATTGACTTTTCATGCTAAAGATATATTATATAGTCAATTGATGAAGTCTAATGGCTCTGTTATTGTTCCTTCAGGATGCTGATAAGTCAGAGATTAAGGTGCAGGTGTGTGTGTATGCCTTCGACCTGCTGTACCTCAATGGACAGGTGAGTTGATAAAAGGTTTCTTAAGAAAGGCACAGTAAATAAGTTACAAATCCTGTTCAAGACCTACTATATTTTTTCCTATTTTTTGTAATGTACTAGTACAATGTATTGTACAGTATGCTGGTGAAGAAAATAATCAGTGCAAAAGTTTTCTATCTTTCCCAAACATGACATTGTAGATGGATTTCTTTCCATTGAGTTTAGTTAGTTACATGAGAGTAATGAAGAAGGACCTGGATTTTTATTGATGAAGTTACATATTGTACATGGAAATAAATGCTGATCGAACTTTCCTTCCTTTTTAGTCCCTGGTACGAGAGCCGTTCCGCAAACGTCGCGAGATGCTGCGAGAGTCGTTTGAAGAGGTGGAGGGAGAGTTTGTGTTCGCCACATCGATGGTGTCGGGAAACACGGAGGAGATCGCAGAGTTCCTAGACGCCTCCATCAAAGGTGTCAAACTTTGTAAACTTTTCATTTCTTCAGCAACTGTTGACAACCATCAGCATCAACCATCCTATAGTACAGTTTTGTACATCTGTACTTGTCAGAGGTATGTCCAGTATCAGGGTGAAGTGGCAGAAGTTAGGGTGGCAGAAGTTGTCTGAAGTTGTCCGAAGTTACGACCATTTCCGAGTGGTTTTGGGGGTTATCGGGAGTAAAGTCTGACGTCACTGTAACTTGTAACACCGACACTTGTGGGGTAGGGTGGCAGGTGTCTGAAGTTGTCCGAAGTTGTCTGAAGTTACGTGACGTCACTGTAACTTCCGACACTTGTGGGGTAGGGTGGCAGGTGTCTGAAGTTGTCCGAAGTTGTCTGAAGTTACGTGACGTCACTGTAACTTCCGACACTTGTGGGGTAGGTGGC